CCGCTATTGGAGGCTCCACTCTCATGACCTCATCTAAATTTAAACACTTCTCAAAGAGGTTAAATACCATCACACTGGATTTCAACATAAGAATTTGAGAAGGACACAAACATTCAGTCCATAACAATGGGGAACAAAGAGTGTGGCCCAGGAGGAGGCAAGGCCACATTGCAACTCCATTGTTGGTGGAGGTGCCAGACCACAGTCCGGGTCAACACTGGCACCCTATAAAAACCCTCCCATGTGGGTTCAGCACACATGGAGCCTGGGCTGAATTTTGCTGCTGAAGGACCTCTTCTTTGAGGACTATGTCTTTGACCAATGCTGAGGGTCTCAGACTGGTGCTAGAGTTAAAGTCTGGTGTCGCCTCCGCTCAGTGACCGCCACCTCCCTAATTCAGAAGTGACCAAGTAAGGCAATGATCCCCTTCGTCCTCTAAACTTGTGGCGTTTATTCTGTAACCTCTTCCAAATGACATTGAAAATGGCAGTTAATGTCTCTGAGCACATAATGCGCCTGTCACTGTACAAAATGCTTCCAAGAGCATATCCTTACATCTTCACAATAAGCTCAGAGGTTGTTATTCTGTGTTTGTTGTTTTGTTGTTGTTGTTGTTGTTGTTGTTGTTTTTGCCATTTTATGTATGTGGCCATCTAAGCTCAAGTTAAATGATCTTCCCCCAGTTACTTGGAGATAGTGAAGCCAGGAGTCTAAGACAGGTTATAGGATTCAAAAACGCACAATGTTTAATTACTGCGCCTTTGTGTACAATTTCCTCCTTTGAGGTGGGGAGGGATTCTGGGCTATAAATAAAGAAATAGATAAATAATTTCTGTCTCCATTCCATCCTTGAGAAATTGATTTGAGGTCTAAAGAAATCCAGATTGTATTTGCGAACGTGTCTACTGCCTGTGTCCATGGACGGCTGCCCAGGACATAGGAGAGGAACCTGTTGGGGGTGTTTGTGACCTCTAGTTAGTAGTCTTCCTTGCTACATTTTCTGAAATGGTTTATCAGAACAGCACAGGTTCCTTTTCTACTGGCCCCAGATGGCCTCGGCCGGGGCCACACACAGTGCTGCTGAGTCCTAAAGAGAAGCTGCGGGGGGTGTGGGGTGAGTGGAGCTCACAGAGAGCGCAGCACCGACGTGTCACTCCGACCCGGCCCTCTGGGACGGGACTCGGCTGCCTGCGGTCTGGTGGCCGATGCCTGGGAATGCTGCGACAGCGAAGGCCTGTGACAGGCCGCATGCGCACAGGACTCCCACCCCTATGACGCAGTCCCAGGGTGGTCTCCTGAAATATCCAGAGAGCCATTTTAGATTAAATTTATTGGGGTGACATTGGTTAATAAAATTATACAAGCCATAGCTGTACAATTCTAAAATCCATCATCGTGTACTGTATTGCGTGTTCCCCACCCCAAGTCAAGTCTTCTTCCATCGCCATTTATCCCTCGCTTAGCCTCTTGTACCTCCCCCCACCAACCCTTCTCTGGTAACCACCGTTCTGTGTGTGTCTATGAGTTCTTTTTTTTTTCTTGGATCAATCCCTTCGCCTTTTACACCCAGTCCCTCAACCCCCTCCTTTCTGACAGCCCTCAGTCTGTTCTCTGTGTCTATGAGTCTGTTTCTCTTTTGCTCGTTAGTTTATTTTGTTCATTAGATTCCACATGTAAGTGAAATCATATGGTGTTTGTCTTTCTCTGACTAGATTGTTTCACTTAATATAATATTCTCCAAGTTCATCCATGTTGTCACAAAGGGTTAGATTTTTTTTTTAAGTCTGAGTAGTATTCCATTGCATAAATGTACCATGGTTGTTTTTTTTTATCCACTCAACTTCTGATGGACACTTGGGCAGCATCCAAATCTTGGCTATTGTGAACAGCCGTAAATAGCACTGCGATGAACATAGATGTGCATATACTCTTTCTGATCAGTGTTTTGGGTTTCTTCAGATATATACCCAGAAGTGGAATTGCTGGGTCATAAGCCTGTTCCATTTTTAATTTCTTTAAGGTAACTCTGTGCTGCTTGCCACAGAGGGAGCCATTTTACATACATGTGTTGAATGCATCCTATTACAGAAATAACATCCTGTGCTGAAAGTTCACAACTTTCATCATTTTGCTGAGTGTGAGTTTCTGTTTCACAAAGCTTTTTAAAGTAACCTTATGTATTTTGGGCTTCTGATGTCAGCTACGGAACCCTGAAAACCATGTTTTACCTACGTAACTGATTTTAGGGTCTTTTTTTTTTTTTTTTTTTTTTTTTTTTGGAGACTGCGTAGGGGTCAGTGCTGGGAAGCACAGATCACGGACGTGTAGCTTATTGTTTGGGATGTTTGTTGTGCCATTGAACCAGGTCCTTCCTACTGGCCAAAAGGCAGGAAGGGAATGCTCTGTCCTTTCACAGCAAGTGTCTGTCACCATTAGAAAGATGAAGGAGAGTCAACATAAATATCCTTTTCCTCTGTTCGAAACCTCTCTCCTTCTTTGCGTGCCAAGCGAGCTTTTCTGAGCCTTTTCACTTTTCTACGTTGCCTCGTGCACCAAGGCCACCCGGTGTCACCTGTAATCAAGTACAGAGGGAAGGACACACACAGCCATCACAAGGAAGCAAAAGGTATAAAAGGCTTGGCAAACCCTAAAAATGCTGACCCATGGCTAGGCCACAAGAAAGCAAAGACGGGGATGGTTTCTGTTTGCAAGGAAGGCTAAGATGGGGCATTTTTCAAGTAAATGTGATTGGGACTGGATTGGAAATGGACAGGTTTCTTAAAGAACAAAAGTTTTGGTTTATTATTTCTATATGAATGCATTTTAAGCATGTTCCTTAAAGAGTGGAAATAATAGAACATAAGCCAGTGACATTTATTCTGTAGCAACTATCACCATCTACGCTCTTAGATAAAACAACCTACGGAGAGCAGGAGGAAGGGCAGGTGCATAGGCGAGAATGGCATGAAGTTCCATAGTTTTTCTACTTCCATGGGGAGCGAAGTGAGTTAAAGGGAGGGTGAAGGTTTGCAAAGAATGATTTAGGTCAGGCACTGCGCAAAGCGAGAGGAGGCGAGGTGGCAGTATTCATCAGCCGCACAGAGCATGAAGCCGGCCTCCGTTCTCCCATGCTTGCTCCCACATCCCCCTACACACACAGCCCAGTCTGTTCTCAACACAGCCAGGGTGACCCCTCCCTCCTCCACCTTCCTCACATCATGCCACTGCCCTGCTGGACTGTGGCACCTTGCAGTGCCCTCCTGTCTTGCCCCAGCCATCCGCCCTCCTGGCTCTTCCCCAAAAGGTCCCACTCCGGGTTCCCACTCAGGGCTCACTCCCTCCCTCCGTGTGCCCTCCACCTGCAGAGTTCCTCCGCTAACTGTTCCATTCCCTTGCTTCATCCACATCTTGGCTCAAAGGTCCCCTTTCCTTGACCATTTGACTTACTATTGCAGCCCTTCCCAGCCTGCCTTAGGTTTCCCCATTGCACTTAGCATTGGCTGACATATTCTGTATGCTATGTCTTCATTTACCATCCTTCTTCTCCCTCTAAAAGGCAAACTCCATGAGGACAGCGAATTTCTGTCTCTTTTGTTTGCTATTATAGTTCCAGAGCCAAAGCAGTATTGCCATAGGATAAACATTTAATGCATATTTGTCAGGGTAACATGTGAGTGGATGAACACAATCTCTGTACTTTCTCATGGGGGTTCATGGGGCGTTCCCTAAAGGAACCATTGGCTCTGTTTCAGAGCTGAGAAGAGGCAGCCACTCCTTTGGTGGGGGTTGGGGGGGCAGTTAACACACTTAGAGGTTACCCTTTGTCCCATAATTAACATTCAAAATACCCTTCCAAGTAGCAGCTGGCCAACAATATACGTAAGCTCTACTTCTTAAGAGAAAAAGGTCTTCTCATCTCTAGCTTCTGTTCTTCCTGATGGTTAATATTTTAAATTCCTCCCCAAACCTGGAAAGAAAAAGCAAGATGGTTAGTTTGGAAATACATTTGGTGATTTTTTTTTCCTCATGAATTTTATCTGTTAATTAATGCTCATCTATAACTTTAATTATATGATGGTGAGCTTGCGGGCAGGCTGGTGGAGGGGGAGGGGAGAACACTGACAATTGGACAAGACATTTCTTGGTGGAGCTCAAGACCAGCCCCCTGGTAGACCTTGCAACGCTGCAGAGATGGGTCTCTTTGGGGCGGGGTCGCAGGACACAGCAGGAGGTAAGAGTGTGAGAAAAATCAAGAGAATTAATAGATCTATCCCCAGCGGTTTCTTCTAGAGACAATTATCTAAAGTTCAAAGCACAAAAACTAAGCCTTTATTTTTAACAAACCCAAACTACTTCTTGTCATATGCCATTGCTAAACACAGAGTTTTATTTTGTTTTTAATGTTCCTAGATATACATTTATTACAGCAGTTGACACACAACCATAGCCACCACCCACCAGTTTTCTTGGACAATGACATGTCTGACTGGGGGGAAACTTTTGGCCTCTGCAGGTGGATTCTGAGATTTCCATAATCTCCACCCTCTGAGGGAGGACCGGGCTGGCGAAGCGGATTAGCCCACACCCTCCAGGGTGTCTGGAGAAGAGAGTTCCAATCCCAAGCTTAGGTCATAAGTAAAGATGAAGGGGCTGGTCTAACGTTTATCCCCCTCTGGGAGCAGTGAAAGGCACGGCTAGTAATGATTATTAACCTTGTTCAGAAGGAGCACAGCCAGGAATGTGGCAAATTGATCCTCATCCAGAGAAACTGGCAACAGCCAACGGGCTCCTGGCTCTGAATTCACTCTGGGCTTTTTCAAACGCAATGTGAATTTTTTCAAAAGAAATCACAGTGTGACTGTTCACTGGCAGATTGAAGCGTGTTATTTTACAAAAGTGCCCGTTTGGGCTCAAATAATTTAATGGAGATAAAGTAGCCTGCGATTATCAGCACATTGTGAAAAGAAGGGCAAATCCGTTCTCTCCTCTTCTCTTGACAGGTGTATTTCTATTGGATCTGCCGGGATTCCAAAGCTTTTGAGTGGTTTGCTGATCTCTTACTCTCGCTGGAAACACGCATGAGTGAGCAAGGGAAAACTCACCTTCTGAGTTATCATATCTTTCTTACTGGCTGGGACGAAAACCAGGTATTGATAAGACTGAGAGCAAGCAATATTATCTAAGCCATCTAATAACAGAACAAAGGGAAGAGAAACAATTTCAATAATGAGCTATACAGTTTTCTGATAGCATGAAATAATTATTTTATGTTCTTAAAAAGGAAAGGAGAATAAAATAAAACCAGATTAAAAAGAGTGATTCAAATCATAGCAATGAAAGAACCTGTAATTAACGTGCTAAGGAATAGAAAAGAAGATTGGGAGGAAAGGGTGATCAGTGGGAGACAATCCTAAATTTGGAAATGCAAAAAAAATTATGAAAACTTATGTCACTGAAAATGGCATTTGTCATTTTAGTGACATCAAGTGACTTCTATTGATTGGCTCTATTGTCATGCCGAGCTCCTAATTGGTTCAAATTCTATACTTTGAGCTGTTCAGAGTTAAACAGAAAAAATTCCCTGGTGTTTATATTCAACAACTCGTATTTTAAAGTGTGTGAGCTTCTACAGAAAATAATCATTATGAATACATGATTTATCTAGAGATGTTTTATTTTCTTGAGGCATTCTTAGAAATTGTGTGCATGTGTGTTTATTCACCAAAGATCAAGATAATATTCTGCTGTGGCAGGTGTTCTGCCTCATTTATATTAGAAATATCAAGGTTGAATTTAGCAAAAATAATGTATAACAAAATGTTGCACTATGGTAGTATGTCAATGTTGAGAATATTGAATGATAACGATTAAATTTTAAACCATTTTTAACTCCTCAAACATGAAAACTATCAGCAACATGATTACTAGGTTATGAAGTGTACGCTCGAATCGGCACTTCTGTAGTAACGCCTATTGATATTTACCTTAAGGAACATGTGTGGGAGCCAAGATTTGCATCCATCACTAAATTCACAAGTGAATGCTTTCCTGTCAGCTAGTGAGTTTCTCTCTCTGTCCCTTCCAAAAGTGTGCTATAGCATATACCTTTTTTTTCTGAATATAAGTAAATTAAATTAATGTTATTAAATTCTTGCCATGACATGTTGGAAATACTTTAGATGCTCAAATTCCAGGAATAAAATAATTGATGTGATCTGTTGGTAAGAAATCAAGAGGCTGTTTTAGAAATAGCCAATTGTTAAACTGAATTCGGCAACCTCAAAGTGGCAGAATGACAAGCACAGAAGGAACAGATGGAAAAGGTATTGCAAAGGGCAAATCAACAGGGTTTGGAGATTAATTGAGCCTTGGGCTGAGAAATAATGGAATAAATATAGTTCCAAAAGCTGGAACATCAGTGATTGGCAGCTCTATGGTAGCACTACTATAAGTTGGAAAGGCCTTTTTTCTTATTAAATAATGCCCAGACTTCAAGTACTAGTAAGTACTGACCTGAAGACAGCCCCTTGTTCTAGTCTACTCTCATCATTTTCCTCGGGCGCTGAAGCCACCAAACAATGCATGTTCTTCATTCGGTCATGCAACTTCACATCTTCCCTTATATTGTCCCCTCTCCTTGAAATGCCCCTCCCCACTGTGTCCTGCATGGAAACACTCTTCAGAGACCAGTCCCCTTTAAAGCCTCCCCCAATTCTCTGTCAGAATTACTCAGGGCTCCACCACAGCGATGTGCTTGCTTCTGCAGAGCACTTGGTTTCTGTCGCCAGTACAGAGGACGGTGGTCTGACTCTTAGTGATACACGTGGGCCGCCCTCCCTGTCAGGGACCAGTTCCTCCCAGAGCAGGGACCGTCTCTCTTTCTTCCTCATACCTTCTACTCGCATGCCCTGCCTGCTCAGAGGAACCACACAGTAACTGAAGTCACAACTTATTTGGGTCGATTCATTTTTAGCTATAATAATAATTTGAAGGAACAGAAAGAATTCATAAAAATGTCTTTGCAAGTTTGAGATGCAGGGCTCTATTCAGGCAGGAAGATGAGGGAAGAAAGTCGATTCATCTTTGTAGGCCATGCTAGCTAGGACGATGAAAATGTTAGCTCTTTGGGGTGTCACGGTCCAAAGAGGTGCAGAGAGCTGAGACTAGGCATTTGAGATAGGACAATATAATAGGAAAACAAAACCTAAGGTTTCTTTCTTCCTGGAGTCCAAAAAAAAAAAACGCACTGAGAACTAGAAGACATAGGATTTTGTAATGCAAATAGAATCAAGAAGAAGCAACGTTCAGCCACGTGGTGAAGAAGCCAAGGAGAGGAAGCCTGAGTTGGTCATTAGACCTGGCATGTAGTCCCAAGTAAAGTGATGCTGTCTTCTTTGCCCACAGCAGAAGCCAGCTTATGACAGGGCACCCACCAATCCTGCCGTTAAGCAATAGGGCAGTGGGGGTGCAGGTGCACAACGGCCCCTCTGACCTGGAGGCTAATGCGACTCTGACTCAGGTTCCAGTTCTGATAACAAGGCTTCTGCCCGTTTCTGAAGCTCAGTCCTCACCCACCACCTCAGCTCTTCCTGCTGGACTCATGTCTTGACCTTCATGCTTCGCTCTCTGTCCTGATACACCTGCCCTCTTCTCACCAGTTTTCTCTCTCCTGGAGTCCTATCCCCAACCTCAATCCCAAGAGCTTCCTGGGGTCAGGCCTGGCCTGATGGCAGCTTCCTGCAGCCTGGGCTTCGGTGATCCCACCGTGGTCCGCCATCATTGACGGGGCCTGTTAGGGCACAGCCGGTATTTTCTGCTCTATCTCCCTATCCCTGGCTGCTTTCTAGACTGATAAGAAGCCCACTCGGGGAAGTCAGGAGCGCTGCAGAAACCGGGGTAAGATGTAGGCCTTCCAGGGTCATTAGCCAAACTGGTCAGGAGCAGGGAAAGCTGAGAAGTGAGCAATCAGAACACTGAAGGGCGAAGCACGTGCGTTCCAGAGCTGCAGGGGGGTATAAGGGAGGAACCCGGGGGACAAATCCCAGGCAGTTAAAGCAGGGTCGCTATCAACATTCAACAACAACAAAGTTACCACCAGGCACTGTTAGGCCCAGGCTCTCATTCACGGAGCACTAGTTCCCCAGTGCCTGGGTACATTCATGTCATTTGAAGGCAAACGGTTGGGCACAGACCTCCAGCCAGGCCCCTTGCTATGTGTGGCCACCATGTCCTATCCATCAGGCACAGCATCCTCCCTGCACTTGAACCCAGGGAGTGCACTTCCTACCCTTTCAACCGAGTAGGCAGATCTGATTGTAAGATTTTCTTCCTGGATGTTCCCTGTCACTTGAATCTGTCGGCGCCCTTCGCAGGTCCCCAAGGCTTAGTATTCAGCAAATGGGAACAGAGGTACTGATTAAGTTTTTGAAGTTTGGCAGCAAAAAAGGAAATAGCTTAATACATGCTTCCCCTTAACCAAATTTACTCTATTACCCTCATTTTTTAAGAAAAATTTTCTTTCCAGGCTCACGTTACTACCGCACATCTGTATGTGGGAGTTGCCTTGTATGAATTGTGACCACAGTGGAATACAAAGATAAATGACATACCCTGCCTGTCCTAAAGTGCGAAGTTGTTGATATCTTATCATCATGATAAACATTTCCAACCGCATAAAGAATTTTTTTGAGCTTTACATCTACAAATGAGTGTAATCATTATATCTTTTATTCAGTAGCCGATTCCTATTTTTTTCCTAAATGCCATCTGATACCACACTTATTATTTTAGGCTATTCACATAGCTTTACACTGGGATGAAAATACTGATGTGATTACGGGATTAAAGCAAAAAACCTTCTATGGAAGACCGAACTGGAACAACGAGTTCAGGCAGATAGCCTACAATCACCCCAGGTAAGAGGCTCTTTCCTCCGCCTGCCGGGGCCCTCCCTGGAAAGATATAAATTGCCAAGGTTGCCACTGAAATGGACAGCTCCTGGGTACGCTGGTTCATCCGCTGTTGTGAGTATCTTGTTTATAGATAAAACGTCGTCCTTGGGAAAGATGGTCACGGGATATTTCAGGAACCACAATGTCTGCTTGACTGGCTTACAACACCTGACAATTAGCAACTGCATTGAACCCTTTCACACTTAAATTCAAAGATGGTATTATTTAAACTGCCTATGTATTCTAGAAATCTTTGGTGTACATAGTTGATTTCTAATTACCTAACAGGACATGAGAACTCATTTATGTCCAGCTGTAAACTATATCTGGCATGTCTAGCAAAGCAGACAAAAATGTTATAAAACCAATCAGGGATTTAGTATGGTGGTTAAAAGCCCAGGATATGGAGCCCAAGTGCCTGGATATAAATCCTGGTTCTGCCATTGCTGCCATTGTACTGGAACATGTTATTTATTCTGCTGCTGACTTAGTCTCCTTCTCTGTAGACTACAGATTATAATAGTGCTTATCTCCTAGGCTTCTGCAACGATGAAATGCATGAATATGTAGAAAATGGCTATAATAGACTTTGAATTCTGTCATTGTTAGCTGCTATCATTATTATTATTTCAATTATTACTATAATTATTATCATATATAATAAGGTCCTATGTAGAAGTGGAAGAGCATTTGCTCTGGGGCCACAAGACAGGATTGAAGGCTGGGCTTTCTGACTGTAGACGTTACTATGAGACCTTAGCTTATTCAAGCTTTTGGGCTCCGTGTGAAACGTGGGTGATATCATGCAGTCACAGTGGTTTTTTTTATAATTTAAAAAATAGTATGTTGAAGAGCTTGGTAGAGTGCAAGGCACTAATGCAAACATTTCTCAATGTTATCACGTGTTTCCTACACCAGTGTTTGTTTTGAACCCCCATCATTTAGGGGTCTTGAAAGCCAGTATGTCCTAGTATTGTCCCTGTTTAAAGAATACTTTCCGTATTTGAGGAAAGACCTGAGAGAAGCAAGGAAGTGCAGCACGTGCAAAGGCCCTGAGACAGGAGGTGCAGTTCCTAGCCAGAGAGGTTGCCACAGAGTGGGTGAGCGGGAGAGGTAACTGGGGGACAGTTACAGGCCATTATAAGACTTTGGATCTTATTCTGTGAGGGGAAGTCACTTCCACTTCGAGCAGAAGAGTGACATGATCGATCTTATGTTTCCTGGGATCACTCCTGGCTGCCATGAGAGGACCGATTGTAAGGGGCCTGCGGCAGAAGTGGAAGGGCCAGCAGAGGTGGCTTGGATTAGGAGTAGCGGAGGTGCAGAGAAGTAGTTGGATTCTGGATATTTTTTGAGGGCAGAGCTGGTCTTACTTGTTTATAGATTGTACTGCAGGTGGGGACAGCCCAAGCTAGAATGGACCTACCACTTACGCGCATGCGGATGACTGTATAGGGAGAAAGCTGGCAGGTGTGCCATATCAGGGGTTCATTTTTTTGATATGTTTAGCGTAAGATGCCCATTATATATCCAAATGGAGATGTCAAGTAGGCAGATGAATGGGAGTCAGGGGTTTAGGGCCGAAGTTCAGGCTAAAGGTACACACTTGGGAGGTATCAACATGTAAAATGTGCTTGGAGCCATAAAGCTGGATGAGATCACCAAAGAAGTAAATATAGATTGACAAGAGTTCCAACTGCCTCAGTATTTGTAGGGCAGGACAATGTATTCTAACTCACAGCTCTGTTATTAATCATGTCATTTAGCTATTCTATACCCTGACCTTTATTTTCTGTCCCCGCTACCAGTATTGAACCAGGAAGAGTAAATTAAGACCTACTAGGGCATTTCTGACTAATTCCCCATTTCCTGTGATTTCCCTACTGTCTTGCAATTTCTCCCCTCAGCTTTGGTATTACTGCTTTGTCGTCTTCCTTCGTAGAGGTCATTGCTTCATTAAACCTTTTGTAATTCCCTAGCATGTTTTTTCACTCTATGGAATACTTTTCTGGTGAATATTATTCATCTTTTGGTCAGTTTGGCTGCTCTTTCTTTCATTTTTTTTCTTATATTTTCATTGTGTCAGAACTAGTCTATTTTCTTTTATATTGTCGTTGAATTTGTTAGATTTTCCTGGAGCAGCTATTTGAAGGAGGTTTGGTGAGGAGGGAGGAGTGGAAGGAATGACCAGGTAACTGTCCCAAGTTCATAACCCGTGCGATTCCAGGTGCCTCCTTTTCATGAATTCACTCTGATTTAAATTGCCCCATGTTCTCTGGTACCCCTGGCAACTCTTTCCGTGCCCTGCGCCCTGGCAGTCTGCCCAAGAAACCCTAGACCTCAAACAAGAGTGTTCCCTTTGGAGGCTCTGCATCAGCCCAGGCAAGAGATAGTGTTTGTGGGGACTTACTCTTGACCTTGACTAGTCCTGAGAGTAAAAGATGTCCAACCACAAAGGCCAAGAAAACCTTAAACTTTATCTTCAGGGTTAAGCGAGGAAGAGTGGACAACCTACGCAATCCTTAATCCCCCTCGAAGTCAGCCTCAGGTGACCTTTAAGAAATGGCCAAGGCCCACAGCAGGTGGCTTTGGGAGTCTCCGGTCGCCCCTCCGGAAGCCCAGTTGCCCCATTTCCTCTTGACTTCACACGGGGTGACTCTTGGCCTAGAATCCATTTCTGGGGCCCCATCTTCTCTCCAAATGCAGTGCTTCAAACCCATCCTGGCTTCTGGAGCCTGCGAACTTCCCCCTGTGGGGGCCTGCCTCCTAGACCCCCAGCAGCTGAATTCATTGGAGAGTCCAGAGGCAGAGGCGCAGTCATTTCCTCTGCTGTTTCCTTAAAAAGACTATATAGGTAGAAAAGAATTGTAAGTGTAAAATTAACAAAATTTTACAAGTGCTTATGTTACAGCCACTGCCAGGTTTTTGTGTTGTTATTTTTCTCCTTTTGGAAAAAACAACATATATTCATCTAATAAATGTTTTCTATTCCATTTTCAATTATCATGAAGTGAATGTTTCCACTTTGCAGGCTTTTGACGCAGACACACCCTGGTTTTCAGTTCTTGTAGATAGGACCCCTCTTTATTACGGTTGATCCCTATTGATGTCTCACAATGTGATTGCTTCTTTTTGTTACACGTGAAGTTTGCTGCCCAGTGAGGAAGGCCTTTCAAGCCAAACTGTTTCATTATCTCCCTTCCTTTGGAAAGGTATGAGCCAGAAATTACAGCATCATGAAGCTGAGAGTGGAATCGAGTTTGCACAAATTCTGCCCCCCAAAAATTACGTTGCACAGTGCTGAGAAGCGAGTGTGCCTGATTTGGCAGGGAGCGAGGAAATAGAGAGCAATTTGAAGGTGGAAAACAACGGAGCTGTCACTTTTCTTGTTGTCCTTGTGAAGAGTGTATTCATTCCTTTTCAGAAGCCATAATCAGTTTGGCACATAAACGTATTTAAAGCCCAGTAGCAATGAATTTTTCAGCACAGTAGTGATGTAAACTCTTTTTCTGATAGAGGACTTCCTCTCTCCCAGGGTAGAAGAGGCCCCCAAGGTTTGGATGTCCCTGAATTGGGCCTCTACAGCTGACTTCCTAGTCCAAATTTTAAAAGTAATATTATTCGTGATAAACGTCCATCTCCAGAACGCCGCAACTTGTTATATAACTTCAACTATCAATGTCACTACTATTAGACACATGCAGGCAAAGAGCAATTATCATTTTATCCCTGGCATGCCAGCTCCCTGGGAAGACGAGTCACCAATAAAGAGCTTAGCACCACCCTTCCAGAAGACTTCTAAAATGACCTCCTTAAAATAATTTTGTTTTCTGTTGTGAGAAAGAAGATTTATGTTTAATGAAGCTTTTAATGAAGAAATCTCGGAAAGAGAATGCCAATAAAATCTAATTTTTAAACAAGAAAATTTAATATGGAGAAGTATTTCAATATCCTGGCCTTTGTCCAGATATAAATGAAATACACAATCCAATTATGGTTCTACACAAAAGACAAAGTAACATTAATTTTCCTCAAGATGGTTATTAAAGAGATAAACAGCATGTTTTCCCCTGATTATGTCAAGGATACGTTTGTTCCCAAGACTACTTGGCTAGTCTTACAAGACAGGTCTGTCCTGTCATTAGCTCATATCTTTTGGCAAAGATGGGTCAGAAAGAATTGGTGGGTTTGTTAGTGGCCTCAAAAAAGGTTCTTTGTTCTTCAGGGCCTTTGAAGAGGGCTCTCAACAATCTCTATTCATCAGCTCCAAGCCTAGGATTCTTCAGGCTTGCTCTTTTAAAAACATTTACCTGTTTGCTCAAAGCTGGAGTTTGTTCTTGTTCTAAAAAGAAGGAATTAAATCAAAAGAATAAAGGGAAGAGGGGCAAAAATATTTTTTTAAAGAACATGAAAAACAGCACCAAAAATAAAGCTTGAAGGGATGCAGATCAAAGAGAATAGTGCAAGCTATAAAGGAACCAGCAAATTGCAAAAATAACAGTAATACAGAAACAAATTGATGGGCATCAAAATGAATACAAATAAGGGAAGGAAAAGAAAAAATTAAGAAAAGATCAAAGTCTGAAAGCTGAAAATGAGAAAACATATTCTATTGTTTTTATTTGCAACTAATTTTCATAATTATGTCAGCTGTATTACAAAAACACAAGTATAGCTTTAAAAGAAGGTCAACCAATAATAAGCGGATGTGTAAAAGCTGAATCTTTGATTGACATACCCAAAATCACATGGATGTGACAACTGTCGTATACAGCTTGTTAGACAAGCACAGAAGAGTACTCTACACATAAAAACAATGAAAATTATGCTCCCAGTTAAAATATGGTAGGTTAATTAAATACATGCATTGATGTGCATATCTTATGCAAACATGGAAGTTTTATTTCATTTTTTATAGGCATTTTCAATATGTTCCCAAGCTTTAAACAGATATTCAGAAGGTCAGGCAATCATTTCCAAGAAGATAGAGAGAATGAAAATAAATATACTTTTGTCACACCTAGCTACTTTTTCGATAAACACATATTGTGCATATACTCAACCTTCTGGATATATGGATCAGTTGTTTTTAATTAATTGAAAAAAATTATTTTCCATAGAACTTCAATCTATGATCTTACACGTCACATAGCATTTATAGTTTGCCACGTTCAACTTATCTACTAAACTTTACCATGCTTTGTAGACGTGAAACTTTATGTAATTAATTACCATAAACACTTTGAAGAGTTTGTGATTTTTTCATAACTTCAACAAAAGTGTTTCTTTCATCTAGAAGCAAAAAAATAAAGAATACAAGAGAACAATTATTTGTTAGGATGGTTCAACCCAACCCAACGAGGAGGAGGGCGACTGGGAGCTGCTAATCCATATCACGAGAATGTATTTGAAACCACCCATTGTTTCCAGAAATGTAGCCATACCTTTATACTAAATTGAGTAAATGTATCCATCTGGAACCACATTGGCTTGTGTGCAACCCTCCACTTCTCATTTGTACATGCATACGTGCAGCATGTTTTTAAACAATATTTTTCAGAAATTCACATTCTAATTATAGTATACAAAGCCCTCTAACAGGAATACTAAACATTCATTATAGGGCTAAAATGTTCAGACTACTCAAAGAAATAGACTTAAAAGAAAATCCCACGTATGACAAACTATAGCTTCATGGGAAAACTAACGTCATCATAAATTTATGTCTGGGATAGTGTTAGCGTATTTAGATAATATCTTTCCACCAGAGGATACCAGCTCTTCACTTATAATCAAGTGAAGATTCAGTGAAAATTGCTGACATTGCTCCATTTGTGGTAGCCAGGCTTAGGAAGGTGGGAGAGCACAGGGTAGATTTACCATTGCTCTGCAAAGTTTCTATCACATCATAAGCTATGGCAAAAATAGAAGGATATTTCTCTATAAAGGTGTACATATTTTAGTGTTTTATCAAAGAGGGGAGGGGACAGGGTTGGCAGAAACATGGGTCTACCATTTCCAGGGATCCAATGCTACAAGTCAACTACTTCCGTCTTTCTTCCCTGTTTGACCACAACGTCTTCAAGGACAGCAAGGTAACTGTGTTCCTCAGCGCTGAGCAAGTGGCCAGCCTCGGGGAGTGAAGGGGCAGTAAGAGAGATGAGGAAGCTGGGACAGGAGTCCTACCTCTTGCCAGAGAAGGTGGAGTTGGTGGGAAGAGGGCAGAAGAGCCACAGCAGGGAGAGAGCTGTCAGGGTCACCTGTAGGTCCTAATAAACACCTGAGTAATTAGGATGCAGAGAGAAGTGACAGGGCAGGCTGCTTCCCATCCACTGGAAGGTGGGTTAAAAAAGAAACCGGCCAACATAATTATCATCTGCGGTTATGAAAAAGAAGGTATTGTACAAAACGTAATTATGCGGTGAATCATTTGGAGGCATTTGTAATGAAAAATGTCCTCTAGGAAAGATTACCCAGAAGTTGTGTCCATTGTCTGATACCGAGTTTGTAGCTCTCGTTGTCTTCCTTCTGAGCCTTCATAAATCCACGGGAAGCTTCTGTTTATCGATTTTATTTGCAGAAAGCACTCAGGGTATAAAGTAATTTGATTTTTTTAAAAATGGGGTTTAGGGTCTGCCCCTACAGGGTTATAACTTACCAAGCATAAAAGCCAACACATAAAAACAAATATACAATTTAAGGAGAGAAGGGCTCAAGGCAGCAGAAGCTGAGAATCCAGCAAGATGGTGGAATGACTCCCGGGCGCACCCACTCTCCCATATATCTGCTGGACGGAAATCTCCTGGTGGGTGACATTTTAAATGCCTTTCATGCATGGCATTGCTGAACTATTTTGAAAAATACATCAAACCCACAGAGAAAAGATGATAGTTACTTAGCAAATAAGAGAGGAGAAAGAGGATTTTCTTTATTGTTGATCAGTTAAATATAATGCCGCAATGTTAACTGTCTTTGCAGCTTGTGTAAAATCTGTCCTTTCCTCATCAAAGTCAGCAGCTCAGACTGATCAATGCTGCTGACGTCCCTGATCCAACTCCTCCTGCGCGTGCAAGCTCGGCAGGCTGTAAACTGAAGAACAATGCCTCGTGTTTTTATACTTCTTTTACAGAGAATCTGTTCTTTTTTAAATTCTAAGCAATCGTGGGTAATTAAACTTTATAGAAGAATTTTTTTCTTGCCAGCCCCATTAGTGTTCTGTTGCGCTTGTCCATTGCCTCATAAAGGGGGAAAAAAAATACAGCCACATCTGTGTCTTAACTACTTTGTGCGGATTTTCAGCGCTGTGAGTCACAGTTTGCGTTTGTGACAAGAAATCTCCATATATGAAATCTCAAATGACGAGTAGGGTAAACAAAACAAGCAAAAAAAATGTGTGGGGACAGGGGCGCACAGAGAGCTAGCGAGGGACTGGCTTTTGCGCCTTCGTGGAAGGTAGATAATAAATGGCCTTTGTGAGACTTAGCTGTGCAGTGGAATAGCCAGAGCTTCAAAAGAGGCAGGGCAGCTGTGAATTGCTGGGGACACCAGTGGGCCACCTGGCAGCCAGCAATCAGAATCCTTTGAAATGGAATCTTAACAGGCGGAGCATCAAAGGGTAGCCTCAGCTTCTACAAGCAATCACTGCGGCTGGAAACGAAGGGCAGTCTTAGCCTGTTGGGAATGGGCCAGTGGCGATCTCTTTGGTGACACCCACACTAATGGAAAAATATCACCACCCATAACAGCATCTTTGAACCTAGATGCAAGGGTACTACCTCTGGGCATCAGACACAAAGCCCAGCTGTGACTCCTCACTGGGAAAGGTTTTGCCTGACCCATCTATCATTCAAAATGTTTTCAGCCCAGAACTCAAAAAGCCTGCTGAGGGAGTGTTGATTGGGAAGTCTGCAATCGCCTCTGGGTTAACAGCCCACTTCATGCCTTCTGTTCAGCTCCGTAGGACCCGCAGACGTGGTGGGGGTCATGGGAGAAGCCACCTGTTTCTGAGGGCTCACCAGGTACCAAGCCTGTGGCAGAAAGCTGTACCTGTAACGTGTCTAATCCTCACAGGGGATTAGAAAATGGGGGCTCTGAGGAGGCTCTTAATGTACCCAAAGTTAATCAGCAACAAAGTGGTGGAGCTAACAGCACTCTTAACTACCACCTCGTATTTCCATGAACATGTTATTCTTGCTTTATTAAGTCATAAACACATATTTTTCAGTAAGAAATGCTTTCTGAAAAAAGCACTTTCTCAAATTTAGCTATGGGAGTATCTTTAAAAACAGGACTCATACATTTTAAATGTATTGGCACTTACAAATGAATCCACTTGATAAGTGTCTTTGAAGCTAGAGTTTGAAAGGTAATTAAACCATCGATTTCTACCATGGATATCATGGTCCTGGGACATACAATTACATGTGGGTACGATAAATGGCAGAGAACCATGTTCATGTATAAGCTAAGTAGAAAAAGGCTTTTGTTGGGAAGGGGCACTTTCCAACAAAAACTAGGTATGAAGAGCTAGAGATAGTGGTGTGGCTGGGGCCCGGCATGGGAAGAACTCCTCTAAGACTGTTTCTCAAAGTGTGGCTCATGTACGACTTGCCTCAGTATCACCTGGGGGCCTTGCTATAAAGGCACTCCTTGGACTCAAGCCTGGAACCCTAAGTTTTAACAATCTGCCTGGATGATTTTATGCACAGCAAAGTAGGAGAACTTTTTATCTAGGCTAGGGTAGCTAATTAAACTATACCAGAGGGAAAATGGTATAAGGAATAACACAGGGCAAGGCGAGGGAAAACATGGTCTGTGTAAGTGCACATGGAGACTGACTAGCCCCACCCCCTACACCCCCAGCTTCCAGAGGTAGCCTGAATCCTTTCCCCGACGGTGCTGTGGCTGCATCAGCAGAGCTGGCGGCAGTAGCGCCCACAGGGGAGCTGAGCATCCCTGGGTCCATCGCTGTCTGCAGAAATACCTCTTCAACACAGTTTACTGAAATGCCATGATTGCTGATGACAACTTTTGCATGACTACATTTTAAGCAACGTCTTTTTTCCTTTCCGACGCTTCCTTTTTGGCCTTCTTTGAAAACGAAAGGCATTCCAACAGGAGAAATAAACTAGGCTGTTATGACTTCAGTGTAAATTGTATTATCTATAAAAAGGCAGGGTTGAATGTCGTATGAGAATAACTAACACTTTGTAAATCTTTGTGATGCATTATTGCATTTTACTTTCAATAATGCATACAATATAGTCATTATTATTATTTTTGCACACGTGGAGAGGGAGGCCCAGTGTCTTGCCCGAGACCACACAGATAATAACCTGCAGAACCATTTCTTCTTCCATTCAATAAACATTTATTGATTGACTGGGAATCAGTAAGACAGACTGGGTTTCTGCTCTCAAGGAGCTTACATACTACCATCCAAAACGACGCTAATCAAAGTCACTAGACCACACATGCACGCCTATCACCTCTACATTGAAGGTCCCCCCACCCCGCCCCCATCATCCTGACCCTGCAACCTCAGTCTCCTTGGCCCCATCCACCTGTGTGTGATTTCGAGCCTAACAGAACGCTGGGGACCTTTGGGAGACCATGGAGCTGAAAACAGGAATAGAGAATCTGAGAAACAGGGAAGTGCGTGGAGGAAAATCGATAAGCAAAGGCACAACTACCATCACCTCCCGGCTCTCACGATTCTGCCTCGGCTTCGGCGAGCCCCGCGTGCCTCACGCTGTCCTTCCCCTCTCGCCCGCCTGCAGCAGCAGCGTCGGCGTGTTCTTCTGCGGGCCCAGGGCGCTCTCAAAGGCGCTGCACAGGATGTGCCGCTTACACTCGTCCGCCCACCCCAGGGGGGTCCACTTTTATTACCACAGAGAGAGCTTCTAGACTGTGGACGCAAAACCCACGTGTTGCGTAAGTGGCTACAATTATACTGGTCATGGGTCGGGAAACCTGTCCTGTTAAAGGGCCAACTAGTAACGACTTCAGACTCTGTGGATCACGGTCTCGGTCCCGGCGATTCCACTCCGCCCTCCTAATGTACCCAAGCAGCTACACACAGCATGCCCCTGAACGGGTGTGGTATATGCCAATAAAACTTCAATAACGGACGCTGAAGTTGAATTTTATATAATTTTCTTGAATCATGAGATAGTCTTCTTTTGATTCCTTTTCAGTAATCTGAAAATGTAGAAGACATTCTTAGCTCGCGGGCTATCCAAAGACAGACAGCGGGCCAGTGGGTAGTGTGCCGAGCCCTGACGCAGGGAGTCCTTCCCACACGCGTTTTCCTGCCTAACAGCACATCCAGCGCGGGGGCCAGCGTGGCAGCTTGGAACGCAGTCTTCCGTGGCATCGGTTCAAATCCCCGTCACCACATGGAACCTCCGCCGTGCGCCCAGGCCCGAGCCTCTCCGCTCACCCCGAAGCCCCTTTGTGCTTTCCTCCTCCGTGGACCTGAGAAATCACCGACGCCGTTATCCTTCGCGAGAACCCTTCATACACTTGGAAATGACAATAGACTCATCTCCTCCCTGTCCCTTTCCTAGTCCAAAAAACACTGACTTCTTAACCGGGCGGCTTAGGATATATTTTGTAGCCCTGCACTCATTTCTGTTGCTCTTCTTTAAAGCCAATTCCGTTCCTTCACATGCTTCTAAAATGTGCTCGCTAAAATGAGACATCACATTCTGAGAGAAGCATAGCTAGTGTTGAACAGTCATTTTCTTAGATCCGGTATGCGATATGCTTTTTAAGATGACTAAATTCTGTTTGTCCCTCATTTTTTTTTCTCTTCCTTTCATATTTCTTTCTCACTTTCTTTCAACATACACTTTTAAAGACTATTGCACTTCGATCTATGATCGTTTCGACACTTTGACTCCATCTCACCTTCTACCTCACAAACATACTGGGATGCTATTTTAAGTTCTGTATTCCCAGCGAGCTAGTCTGTTCTTATCCTACAGCTGTTTTACCCCCAAAAGTGTCCCCAAAATATTCTTCATGTTGTATAGTTTTCTCTACTAATACTGCTTAATTTTTTTTTGGAATTTTTCCTTCTAATATTTCAAGATTGTTTTGAAGCTTAGCATCAGAGATTAATACAAGTATTTAGCTTAGTAATATCTACAAATTTAATTCGTATGATCTCAAAACTTTTCTTTAGATTTTTAATCATGGTATTGAACCCAAAGAACTCCACCATGAATCCTGGCAACTGCCAGTTACTATGAGCTTCCAGTTAGGAACAAATTAGTAATAACTAGCCCTTGAGAACAGTACACCACTCCATATTTCCTAGCTTATAAATAGCATGCCATATATAATAGAACAAAACATTTATTGAAATTAAAATAGATCATTCTGCCATAAAAGGGAATTAAACTGATCTGACATGATTTATTTTTATAAAGTCAGGCAAGCCAGTTAAGCTCTTTTAGCTATTTTTAAATTATAGTTAATAATTTCTTTACCTTATCTTCAGATATTGACAATGATTCTATGGTTTTTAAATATACTTTAGAAGAAAGTTGGGTACATTCCCTGATGTGTCAAAAATTATCACCACTAACTCTGTGCTGCAGTTTCTCAGCATCTTTAAGTGTTGCATGATGCATATCATTCAGACTCTGCTGATTCTAACACACCCAATCATTCTCTATATTTATTTCTCCATTTAAGTTTGATTCAGTCTTTACAACTAGAGTTTTCAGCAGTTACATGTATATACTAAATCTTTACTTCAGCAGGAAAATTAAGTACAGTAAAAGGTTTTCTCTTAGTTGTATTTAATTATTATTTTTCAATTACTACTTTCCTTCCCCTGTATATTTATAAATAAAAATGCACTCTATTGTTAACTAGTTTTGTTTAATAGAGTATACTTGTCCTTAAAAGATTTTAAGCTCTGTACATTTCTATAAATTTTGTTGTAAACCTAAGACTGTTCTAAAAAAATAAAGGTTTTTTTTTAAATAAAAATACTTTGTTGGATTTTATTAATCTCTACTGTTTGCATCCCCTTTTTGTTTTGAACTTTAGGCCTACACACTATCCAGACTTATCCAGAAAGAAAAAACAAATAGCAAAAAATCAGTATATTACTTTAATGCAACAATAACCAAATAGAAAGTGTAATTTAAAAAAAATAATCTATTCAAAACAGAAACAAAATTGTAGCAGGCCTGTATATATATTTAACAAGAATTATGTAAGTTTATTTGATAAATGAAGAAACATTTATAGACAGCGTTAAAGTGGGTAATAATATGTTTCTAAATAGGAATATTAAACATACTGAAAACATCAATTTGTTCCAAATTAATTAATAGGTTAAATAAAATTGCAATTAAAATTTAAATTCTCTTAAATTTTTTGAAATGATAGGTATTTAAAAGTTCATCTAGGAGAATATATATGAGAAATAAAGTTGCAAAATTGTGAGAAATAAAGGAAAGGAAAGGAAGAAGAAAAGAAAGGGAAGGAAGAGAAAGAAAATGAAAATTCAATGTTCAGAAGCATCATCATGAAAGAGAAGACCCTTAAGTAACCAGAAAGAAAAAAGTTGTATTTCCTACAAATGAACAGCAGAAAATCTGACAGCTACCTCCTCAAAGAGATCTAGAGAGACCAAATGATAATGAAATATCTTTAAAGTGTCGAAGGAACTTCAAATGAGAATTTTGTGCTCAGTGATTATTAAAAAGTGAGGGCAAAATACAGGTATTTTCAAACAGAAGAAAACTGAAATTCATAACCCTCCCTGAAACAACTACCAAAAGTTATATTTAAGGAAGGAGGAAATTCAATTAATGGAATACAAGAATCAGTGATAAGCAAAGAAATTTTAAAACATTTTGTCAAAATCTTTAAACATTGACTCTAAAAGAAAATGAATGATTATTCTAGAAGGAATGTTTTTAAAAAGAAAAACTAAAATATTGGACAACAGTAAGATGGAAGATGGGAGGTAGACACAGGAATTAAGGCATTTCTAGGTCCATATCTTGCTCAGGGGGATAAAAGAAATATTGGTTTAATGTAGCCTTTGTTAAATTCTATAAATAACTTGAAAGAAATAACCTTAAATGGATTCCCTGCTCACCAACATTCCTTTCTTTTTATATTTATCGCATTTTTTTCCATTACCATTTAGCCCCCTTATACCTGACTATTCCCAGCAACCACCACACCGTTGTCTATGTCCGTGAGTCCTTTTTCATTTTTGCTCAGTCCCTCCAACCCCTCCTCTCCACTCCTTTTCACCTAACTGTTATGAATTTTTACTAGTCTAAACTACTAATTTGTTGGATTGTCAAACAATATGTTTTAAGAGGCTCCTGAGTGTTGTATTCCCTGATATAATTTATATTTGAGAATTTATATTTGAGGGCAGCCTGTTGCTCATTTATTTAACTGATAGTTGACTGGATAGGGCATTTTTGGACAATATTCTCTTCTCCTGAGAAGTTTGTAGATGCTGTTTCAATATTTTTTTGTCATTGAATATTGCTGTAGTGAAGCATAAGGCCAATTTCATTCTTTCCCTGTTGTAAATAAATTACTTTTATTCTTTGCCTAGCTGCCTAAATAATTTTTCTTTATCTTTGAAGTTCATACCTTTTAATTTTTATTTTAATTTTTTAATTTTTTTATATTGTTAGTAACAATTGTCCCCATTTTTCCCCATTACTCTCCCCTGCCCTGCCCACCCCCCACCTCCCACAAGTTCATATCTTGTTGGTATTAAATATTTCATATAAATTTTTTTTCTATGATAGTATGTTTTTTGAACACTTCTTTTATTTCAGAGAAATTTTCTTGTATTAGATCTTTGAATACAGTTGTTTTCTTTGTCTCCATATTTCAAAGACATCAGTTATCCTTATATTGGGTCTTTTTTTTTTCCCCCTGTTTTCAAATTTTTCTAATCATTTTAATTTCTTTGTCTCTTTAATTTACTTGTGGCTTCTCTTATTTTATTACTAGCCCACAATCTCTTTCTAAAACCCTAGAGGCAGATATATTTTAGAATTCAAAATGATTTCACATTTTTGAAAATAACAAATGTATATTCCATATATTACATAATACTCCCAGTAGTGTCTGAGGAAATACCCAATACTCAAAATTTTTAATGTTTTATTCATGAAAAGTATAAAAATGAATATACAAATTAAGTGACATAAACAAAGGTTATAGAGAACTTTACATCTCTTCAGGACAAATTATGTTGATGGTGGTGGGTGGTACCCAAAAAATTTTCTAATTTTTCTTAGTTCTTTGGATTTGGGCATTTCATCTTAGGGACAGAGCGTGGACTAGGAATTCAGTTTTCAGTAATGTTGATTCTTGTCCATACTGTTTACTATCTGTTATGAGTTCTGTGCAGGTGCTGCTTGGACCCCTGACTTGCTGCTTTAGGTCTGCCTCTCTCCCTGTAGATCTCACTCTGCTGCTTTATAATTTTGCTTTTTCTCTATCATATTAAATTAACGTTCTCAGTAAGTTCCCCATTACATGCAGCAATATTGATGAATTACCTGAATTATAATTTCTACTAAGTTGGGTTAGTTTTTCTTACTATATGTGGTTATTTTCCCTTTCTTTTTGTGGTATCTACACAGGAGCTTTGTTCCTCATATTTTTTTCACCGTGCTCACGTTAGTTGACTCTACCCATTTTATCACTTTAGTGGTTCTTCCATATTATGAATAATTTCTTGGGGTGTTTTTTCCCACATCATCTCTAAGATCATGCATCTCCCTCCCTCCCTTTCTCTCTCCAAAAAAAGCTTTATTGAGATAGAATTCACATAACATAAAATTAACCTATTTAAAGTGTATTCTACTTTCATGAGCAAAGTTTTGAGTGGATCATGTTTT